AGCCTCATGCCATGTGGCGGCTGTTAAAGTTGCTCACATAAGCAGGCGGCGTTTGTTGCGGCAATGTTGACAAGAAGGTTCCGGATCGCTTGTTGTAAATGGTCATTATGGCGATTTCTCATCTGGCCTTGAGTCCTTTCAGTTCACTTCTGCATTACTGTTTATTACTAAGATATTCCTGAGGTCTACTTTGGCACAGGTAGTCAAACGGTGTTTGGAATCGTTGGTTATTTGTGTCCGGCCGCTTTGCGATCGTCTTCGCAGGTATTCGCACTTGGCGTAGTAGATGTCCTCGACAATCAGCTGGAAGATGCTGAATGTGCGGTCCACATCGTCACATTTTTGGCCTTTATAATTATCGTTGGGTTCCTTCGCCCTTCTTCCCTGATTTTCATAGAGACCGTTCGGTTTATTTTGTGTTTGTTTACATTTTTGGCCCCGAGATGGATTATCTTTGGATATGTTGCTAGTCAGGCTGAAAGATTGACTGGGCAACGTTCAATGTACTGTTCAGCGTTGGCGCACTTTCACGATGTACAGCAGGAACAACATGTGAGGGTTGTCATCTTGCTTTCTTGTTGTAGATGGTTGATGATAAGCTAATCGCCCTGTAGCTCGCCAACTGTAAAATCGCTGATATGATAGTCGAACCGTCTGGAAATTTCATTTTTTTAAGCAGCATGAAAAAAAGCACGCTAATTTGCTGGTTTTTGCGCTATCGCCTCACTCGACGATATCACTCTACTGCCAGTCTTCGGCAGGGAGCCTTTCCCGCTTGGCCTGTTCTATAGAACGTGGCATTTTCTTCAGTAAGATCTCGAACTTCGCTTTCTTCTCTTTCTTAACTTTCCGTATCATCACTAAGGGTTTTGTTGTTTCATCTTTGGACAGTTTTCAATCGATATCTTCCACTTTCCCTAGACTTTCTTGCCTTTTCCAGGCGAGAGTCATTTTTTCTGCGTTCAAATCTAAAACTTATCTTTTCATGACAGTCAATCCTTGAATTAATCTTTTCATACTGATGTTGTCTTCAAGAATTTTCCTGACTAATCTGCGGTGGAACGCTCAGTCGTCTCTTTCCGTTTCACCAATTTTATAACGTTTCGCAAAGTTCACCTATTCAATCATCGATTCTTGATCTGTTGCTGCATTTATTTCTGTTTTTCGTGATCTCTATCGCTTGCTTCGAGAATTTTTGGTCGAAATTCGAGTTTCTCAGTCCGTGTTCCGCAGACGTTTACCGTAGGTTTATTGACTACCTTAATTATTTAAACATACTTGGTACAGTATATGTTTGTGTGCACTGTTTCACGTGCACAAATGCGACAACAGTATTCAACAGTTAAAATGCAATATGAAATCAGTGCATAATCATTTTTTTGATGAAAAATAAACATTTAATACCAACTAGCTTTCGCACCGAATTATCTTTAGGTCTTCAAGTGATACCTAGCAATCAGTGACGTCGTTTGAGAAACTGAAATGACCGTCTATCAACTACAGTTTCAATTCATATCATCGTACTTTTGGCCAAAGAATAACAAACGCTCTACATGGCGACAATATACTTTCTACTGGGATATCTATAGAATAGAACAACGTGCGCATCTCAGTAACGCAAAAGGTACTGTTTCTGGTAAGATCATTTTTACCGTGTAGTTTAGGTAGATATCCGATTAGAAACATCCAAGTATAGGCTGCACCGCGATTGAGTTCTCTAAAAATGGTCCATCCATCGTCCTTTGGTGAGTTTACAAAAGAGGAATCATAGCGACAGCTGACAGCTTCTCTCAAAGCCTATACCTCAGTCTTTCCCTTTGTGAGGTTTGCAGTAGTAGGCAGTCAGTTCGTTGACATAACGCCTAATCAGTATGCTCACTATCGCCATGAATTAGCAATAAGAGTAGGCAAAAAGTTTTAAAGTGGACGCACGCCTTTGAAGAAATACAAAAGCAGCTAAACCAGAAGGTTATGTTCAGTGGCCAAAAGTAACGGAAGTTAATTGAGTATATGTCTGGAATCTCTTCTACTTAGCACAACACTTCCTACCTCTTTTACCTCGACAACATGTGACCGGTTATTTATCGTGGAGCTCATCAGGTCATATTGGCATGCTTAAGAGAAGTCATGCAATTGAGCTGGTCCCCACTGGACAAAAAGTGTCTGAAAAACTGTATGTGGGTTGAGAGCGTCCTTAGCATATATAGACTCCATCTACCTGATTATAAACTTTAAAACAAATGTTGGCATCGATCAAAAGGAATAGGAACGATAATCAGGAAACGCATGACTCCAACTCCAGCCTGAGTGGTGCAGAATCGCTTTAAGCAATGATGACATTTAGGCAAGTATGTTCAAGACCACTATATTTCGCCCATTTTTCAACTTTAACGGTTGTCCTCACAGTGACGTGAAGAGTGAGGTTGATTTGGAGAGATATCGCGCCACTAGATTTTATCCATTTATTAATAATAACAATTTAAGCTACGAAAGCTTAGAAAAGTGTTTAAAACTGATAAATGCAATCAAACTTGGCGAATTATCAAAATTTATTCTCTACTGGATCAATTATGCGGTATGGTTTCTCTCCTTCAATTGGTGATTAAGCGAAAAAGCAGAATTTGATTTATTTATTATTTACAAATTATCTATTAGCACCCGCTTAATCACAAATGACGCAATAGAGGTCAGATACTGACAGATTTTTCTTATAAATCTTGCTTAGTCTGTAAAACGCCAACACAGAAAGCTGTGTATAAAGAAATTGTGAACCACATTATGCATTAACGCTCGAAGAAATCATGATGATATCTCCTCATAATGATATCTCCTCTCTTTACCTTCTGAATCCGGGACTGTTTTCTATATTGTACTGAAGCAGCTTAACTCTTTAGCAGCTAAATTTGCGTTGTGTACAGTGTAACTGATTTTTATTTGTTAAAATGCTGAAACCTTAGTTAGTCACGATCAAAGTACACAAACAGGAAAATTTTAGCGAATCCATTGACGGCTTACCGAAAGCTTAGAATCTGTTGCTAGTGCCATCACAGTTTTGATTAATATCCTGGATCTTGTTCGAAAAGAGCATTGGAAGTAACACAGAAATTGTCTAATCTTCTAACAGTGGTATTAAGCAAAGAGGTTCAAAACAAATAGAACAGAAATTGTTTTTATTCGACATAAACCACGACACTTTTTGCAGAATTTGCTATTCTGGTATGGTCGCTGCTGGTTCGAGTTCATGAATACTGCACCAATGACAGAAACACTACAGCTTCAACTTTGGGGTACAGTAATATGAGATGTGCTGCATTCTTCCACCACTGAGCTTCAGGTTGTGTGATTAGCGGAATGACTAATCTTCTTTCCTAAATGAGTTTTCTGATTTCACTAAGAGGGATAATCGTGTGAGTTTTGTCTGGCTTCCTGTCATGTCATGAAACAGGCTAAAATATAACCTTTTGGTTTGGTAAAGAACTAATGCACAAGTCTAGCTCTGATTGCCAGTTGTGAACCACATACGATTTTGCCATTCCATCATACCTTTGAAGGAGTATCACATCGGCTGCTGTTATCTGCGAGAGTCATTTTTCGGCTAATATTTCGCATTTATGATTACGAGAATAAAAATACAAACAAACGTGATGGAAAGTAGCTCTTGCTTATTACACATTTCTTTCTTCATCTTCGTTGTTTTTAAGCTCTCCATCAATACATTGTCGATAGATTTAAATAGTGCCTTAAATTTTTGTTCTTCCAGGCAAACTGGCGAAAAAATACGCTGAAAAAATATAAAGTTTACCTCATTAACTGAATGCGTTCCCTTAACATAGGGGTATATTGAATAACTTGTTGTACTGCAGCGGTTTTGTTCATTTTCACTTTAGCGTTGTTACACTATGCTGTGATGAAGATATCGATCGAACTTTGCAGGCCAGCATAAGCAGATTATCAGCAAACAGTAGATGACAAAGTGGAATAGTTCGAAGTGTGGCTACCTCTGTCACGTCGTTGCTGATGGATTTCATAAAAGATGGGATGAGTACATGATTGGTTATAAATAATACATCAGTGAGTAGTCAAAAGCATACTGCGCGAAATATCGAATTCCTCCTGTTAACAAGGATCTAAACCTGTACACCATTTGAATGTGATCCACCACGGACATGAAGATTACTGCTAATTCGTATAGCATTCTTCATAGATTTAGTTTGAACAATTTATCTCACACTCCTACAATATCTGTTGGCCCATGGCCTAAACTTCAAGTACACAGATTCAATGATTGAAGGTCTGAATGACTATACTGTCGATCAACCGCGACGAAAGTCAAAGTACTCATCCAGCACTTTGCATTCCATTGGTTCATGCCATTCAATGTCCAAACATCACGCATACATCTGTAGGCAGGTTTAGCAAAGAGTTGTTTCAATTGTGCCTGCAGTCATTGCGATACTTCTTTTGAGGCGTAGAAGAGTCTCACCGCTCTGACGCTACTTCTGCATCATTTCAAAGCTGTACAGTTCATATCATTGGTATGTGAATCAATTATCAATGATAAAACCGGTCCGAAGCTTTCAAACCTGTTTTCCCAACAGCTTTGCGATTTTTTATCTAAACATTGTTTTCAATATAAGCATTTTGACACTGCTTCCTCTCATATGATGCTCTTCGAAATCATTACCAGGATATATAGAAAGTAAATTCTAGCAAACTCTTAATATTTAATCCATTTGTGTAGATGATTTCTGCAGTGCTTAGAAGTCGATGATATTCTCTTCAGCTGTAAAGATAGCATCCAGTGTGAGAAAATACTTTGCTTGCTGATTTCGTGTCAAGGTACGAAAAGAATAGTATAAATTAGTTTATGGTTCGGTCATTAAGCAGTAGTTAGGCATAGTTGACGAAGGTTTAATAAAATTATGTTTATTTTGACATAAACGTGGATTTATGCTGAAATTATTAGAGAATCAAAAAATATTAGAGCTTGTTATTTTTAGTTACTTTGCCTTACAACTCAACATTATCGCGGCTGGTTCGTCACTTGATGACCAATTACAACAAGAACATGCGACCCGTGTTACATCCTGCTGATACGCTGAAGGTGGAAATTCAAATCGCCCCGCATCAAATCATCAATGTGGTAATTATTTGATGAGACAGTCTAACTTAGTCATACATTTTTCATACGTCACAAACGGGTAGTCGGAGTCAGAAAGTCAGAAAATTAGTTATTGCTGTAATTACTGGCACCATGGTGATTAGTAAATTGATCAGCTGAAACGAAACAGTTGCTTATCTTCAAAAGGACATGGATTGTCAGCCAAGTGAAAATGCATAGAGTAGTGGGTAGCGCAGTTAAAAGTACTTAAGACCGTTATTATAGGGTGTTGTTCATAGCGGCGAATGGCTGCATCGCGATTTCGCTGCGCCACGTGCATTTAACGACGTCGTTGTAATGATCGGTTTACATCCACAGGGCGGTTCGAGTGTGTTATCAAGAAATCTGACCGGCAGAAGCTCGACTTCAGTCAGAAGAAGCCGAGTAGCCCACGATATTTCAAATGCGAAAGTAGCGACGAATTTCCCTCTGTCTCTACATGACTACTTGAGAAGATGTTTATGCGGATTGTCATTGAAAAATTGAAGGAGGCGACAGAAGATCAGATGGTCAGTTGCGAACAGATCGACTAGGCTTTTGGAACGGGTACCCGTGCAGAACAATACTACTCGAGGAATGCAGCAACTTTCAACTGACCTGGCTGGTAACATTTTTCGACTTCCGAGCGGCCTTTGACTCAGTTCAATGGTAGACAATATGGCGTGATTAAATGTTTCTACAAGGGATGGAACGCCGTCTGAATTGAAGGATTATTGCCTCAAGTAGAGTTTCTAAGGGCTTCTCTCCTCGACTGTTGACATCATAGCGGACTATGATCGACGCAGGAGCGCCATCCCCTATTTCAATCAGGGAGTAACCGTTAACCAGCCGCGCATCTCCAGATGGCCGGTTTTATTCCTAAGAGACCTTGAATGCATCCAATGATACTGTGCTGCTCATTGACTCGGCAAATTTCCTGCTGTAACTCATCAAAGGGTGCGCATGACTGCTATTGGAGCGGAGTTAAAAGTTAACGTCATGAAGACGATCATGAGTGCGCCCGGTTTGACCATCAGGCTAAACGTACTATGGGGTGGCATAGCGATAGACGAAAGAGGCCGTTTCAAGTAAATCGCAACAATGTTGACCAACGATGGCGACATCAATGATAAAGTAATCGACATATCACATTGACTGACTTCAGCGGATTATGACAAGCTGCATGACATATAAAAGGTTCAGAATATAAGAATGGACATGAAGGTCAGAATTATGAAAATACAATCGTATTCATGGTGTCAATGTCCAGTCTCTGCAGCCTTGAAGCGTTATCAAGCACATTTAGACAGCTTACAACGATGCTGTCTGCGCACCATCCTAAAGGAATGATGGTATCGCTGAGTCACGAACTACATGTGCTGATAATCAAGCCAGTCTAAGAAAACTCTCAGTTGAGCACAGAGACATGAGCCTGATTTATTTTGATTAAACGGCTCATAGTGAAAATGAAAATATATTCAAATCTTTTCTCGCTTTATAATCTGGCATAAAGAACAATACGAAACATGGGTAAGCCCCATTGGACCAAACCTGATTGCGGAGAAGAATATGAACCGTGCCTCAGCACTGAACGTTGCCCAAAATTCATCTGAAATTACCAATCATATATCTAGATTACTCTATTGCTTCATGACAATTGTTGAATCTGCCGTTATGATAATGATAACAAAACAATAACATGGATGAGTCTTAGCCCAGGAATCAATAAAACTAAACCAAAATAGATGAAAACCGGCTTCAAAGAGAAGCTCCTTCTTCTTCCTAACATGTTTCTGCTTTACGGTCGATTGTAACAACCTTTCCAGATCTGCAGACAATGCCAAAAAAATTCAGCAACCTTCAAAACGTGAAACCATTCGGTACCCAAGCACGTTCGTGTTAGAATTCTCAAATTCATGGGCATGTTATATATGCGCACAGATTTTTGACAGCAGCGCAATTTGATTGAACTGATAGTTCTCGCTCTTCTCTAGCACCAGTACCTAGTTATTCTTTCAAACAGCGGCCGCTTGATTTATATCAGGTAATTGAAGGTCGTGAGAAGGTTGCCATTACCTCCGTGCGCAGGAAGAATATCGGTAAAGAAAACGCAAGAAGCAAATATCAGCAAGAGTATTGAATCTGCGTGTAGAATAAACTCTCTAAGAGGATGAGAAATTGCGTTCTGCTGCTCTTGCTCAATCGTAAAGAAGCATTTAGAGTATCGTGCAGTATTTCTGGGCAGAACATGAATGTTTGAAATGACCGATTACAGGATTGGAAATTGATTTATTTTTGAGGTTCGAAGAAAAACAGTTCTACTGTCAGTTCTTCATATTCATAGTGTAATTATACCATCTCATTGTTTCTAACGGTCTAGGTTGCCCGTGTAAGTTGGACATGATCCACGGTATTACAACACTTGTAGTACATCGATGCAGAACCGCATCAATATCCTGAATAGAAACTCATTCTCCCTTGCAACCAGTTAAGGCTTTTAATCCCAAGGTTTATATAACAAGAATTGCCCTCTGCTGCCAGTGCATTAATTCCGTGTCATCTTGACAAGCTTATATGTCGCTTAGACGGTTGGAAGCAAACCGAAGCTGGGCATGCATTAAAAAATTTTTGAGCAGATTTTTAATATATTTCTGGTGGAATCGAAAATTGGTCGTTTGCTAGTAAACCGAAAATATAATAGCATCTTTATTTGTTCAGGGAAGAAAGTTTCTCTAAATTTTGCGTGGTAAAGCTCGTGATTTTTCCAATAGCATAAGCCTGAGCGTGTTGGATGTGTATCACCGTCATTTACACTGTGCGCTCGGGTCTGCAGTGTATAAATTTATGATGCTCGCATGAGGGCAAGCAAATTGCAATGATTTTCAGCACTTTCTACAGCTTCAGCAAAGGAAATACTGCAGGTCTGCTTTAGCTCTGCCTTCAAACATTTTGGTTCACCATCGGAGCAGCGGCTTCTTTCACTGGCTTCCATACGAAAATTTGATTAGCCATTGATATTACGATTCTGCTTATTGTTCTGGCAAACCACGTGATTTATTGTTTTTGAAACATATATGTGACGCGTTATAACTTCGTCGTCGCAACTAGAACCTCCAGCTTTATTATTCGACAACACAAATGTATGCTTAAAAAGCGGCCCCGACGTCTTTCATTTGAAGGCATTCAGGTGGTGCCAATAAAGTCAGTGTTTTACGCTGTACTTGAGAATCAGGAGGAAAGAAGGCGCGATGATTCTGACTTTTGTTGTCACACCGATGCAATGAGATGCGAAATATTCCATAACCAGCATTTCTGACGCCTCCAAAACACATCAAGCGGTCTCAGCTTCTAACGGATGAACTCAGGTATTACAGGCGATCCGTTTCAGCAAACTGGTCTCCATCGAATGACGTCACAGTTGTTCTTTCCGCTTTTCTCATTCCATTAATTTCTGGAGTGCTGACGGAATAACATCAGCCGCGTAATCAAGGTCTGTGAGATGTATGACAGAGCACCTTGAGCAACACCTTCGGCCAAACGTCACTTCATTAGGAGATGGCCATTGCTTTGCCTGATAACAGCGAGGATAGTTCTTAACAACAAACTGAGGTTTACATGACTGTCATAAGTCATGCACCAGATACTGAAGTTAGCGACAGCATGTCGCAGACGTACTGTAGAATTCTTGTTACGGTAGGATGTTCATCTTATTTTCACAAAGCTTCATTGAACCACGGCATGCCTAAATCATTTAGTTGATCTGCCTTTAACCGCGCTGATGCATTGACGTAAAACTGTCTGATGACTCCAGACGCTGAAGATGAATTTCACAGCTTTACAATCAAGTTCAACTGCATCGACACTAGAGAAAGCACGCGCAGCATTAATTTTCGGAATGTTCCTTGCGTCATTCGTTGGAACGAACTCCCTAATAAGTTTTTATTTATTGACCCCCGCCGTAAGGTATGTTTTACTTTTGGTAACGGTAGAATGTTTTGTGGATGTCGCCCGGATCTTGATGGCAATGCTGAGAGACAGTGGTACGTCTTTATTTTGAAAAAAATAAACCAGTTCCCCCCAGTGAATTGGTAGAAGTCCATTAAATGAAACGTTTGTAAAATTGGCAGTGCGTTATTCAAATTTCAGAACATTTGAGCATTTCTCCTACTATGGAAATCTGTGAGTTAAATACCACACGGCATTCATTGAACGTTATTGCAATAACGAAGTTCGAAGTTTGAGTCTTCATGACAAGGAATATTAGCTATTACCATGGCAAGTTTCTTGCCTTGCCAGTGTTTTGATTTCGATTAATAAGAAAAGCAGCTCTATAGATTATTCTGTTGTTTCAAAATCGATATTGCACAGAAATTATTCATGAAATGAACTACAATGATTAAAAGAAAGAAATTAGTTAATGAGACCAACGTGGAATATCAGTCGACAATTTTTCTTACATTAATAATTTTAGTGAAATTGAGGTTAGATATTTTGAGAAACTTTACGGAAGGCTTAGACGAAGGATAGCCCAATCGATAGAGCGTAAGACTAACGGGAAAAAACGTGTACTTGAGATCTGGTCATGCAACTAACATTTTATTCTCTTGATCTAGCCAAGTAAATGGCACCTTGCGCACAATGATGCTAAGCTCTGTACTTGTCAACCAGCTCTACTCAATGGAAAGGTTACTGCCACAAATGAAATCGTCACGAACAAGCAAATTATGACAATGATATCACAGCGGTTGCACAATTTTATTGTTTTAATAACATAATTGTAACATGATATTTTAAAATAATGAACCAGAACATGGATTCATGGATGAATGACGTTCCCTCCCTTAGAAACGCGGACAGCAGAGCAACCGTCGATATTAATTTGTCAGAGGACAGATGTAAATTCATTTTGCTGAGCCTTGTCCATTGTCAACATCACAATGCTTTCGTTGCAAACCTGACAGCAGATCCAGCTGAACGGAACTTCAAGAGTAACATCAGCAGGGGAAGAATGAAACCTTTCAAAATGTGGGTAATCAACATAAGAAGTCTGCTGTAATAAATTTCTAAGAACTTTTACATCATGCACTCACATGATAAAACCGAGGATGATATCTGCCAGTCATGTGCTGCGACAGTACGACTTGAAGCAGCGTCTCAAATTTATATCGATGTCGCTGCTGTAGATGGCATATTCCGTGTTGATGACCGATGCCATCTCTGACGAAACGTAAAAATTTTAATAAGTAAGGTTACGTACGAAGTGCAGCTATGGGCGTTTCCTCTGTATAAATCCAGTATCAGTAAATTGAATGAAATATTTACTGGATGAATAGGAAATGTGCCATTGGCGGTGTTTATCCTAAAACATATGGGTTATATTTTTCCTTATTTTGTTAATCCATATTTAAATGTATTTTTCCATGAGATTAAATCATCACATTCACTCGCATCGTTCCCTTTGGCTCTCATTCACATCAGTGATAAAGGCCTGGTCGCTTTATATTAGACATTCTTCATACGGTTAACTTCTGACTAACGCAGTGGTTTTCCAATAGTTGGCTCTCTCTTAATAGGGTCATGTCCTTGTTCAATTTCAGAATGTTTGGTGATAGACGCATCTCGCGTCGTTCGATTAAATTGATCAATGCATAAACGTCCAAATCAATGTTTCAGAGGTCCAAGCTCTCATACGCTGTCGTAAAGCATCGCTTATATGGATTCTGATGTCAGAGTGTGCTAATAAGTGCGTGATTCTTCTATGAAAACTAGATTTAACGAGGCATCACAAAGCCCAATTACCATTAGATTCGAAGCGTCCTTATTACGGTCATGGTTTAATGGCGTTTCACCGTCTAGAATGTTAGCCGTATATTACATAATCTGTCTATCAGAATGGTGTATTCTTCGTAATCACTTATGTTTGAGGATGAGGTACTTCTCTTACATCGATGCTATGGCCAATGAAATGAGGGCAACACGCATCCATTTAACTCTGGCAGTGAAAAATGTTATCCTCTGTTGGTAATGATCATAACATAAATTTAAAATTATCGATGAATTCATCACATTAAAGTCAGAGGATTTTCTGCACTCGTAGAGGGAAGAATGTTAATTTCTTTCCATTCCCAGCGATTGCATTGTCAGGTACGTCCTGCAGTTTCGTCACGCGTATCGCCATTTATTCTTCAAGGACGTATACTGTAGAAGAATTTTCATTATGTTTGGTCAAGAAGAACAGCATGAATGTGGTATCTGTTTTGGCCTGTAGTAATGATACATTTTTTAAAGACAGATTTGCCTCAAATCGCATGAGAATATTTGTCATCACTCATTATTTTTGCCTCGTTAGTCAACCAATATTGATTGTTTCCCACTTTCCAGAATGATGATTCCAACGGTAGACATTAGAGAAGAAAATCCTATGAAACAGCTGCTATAGGCAGCTATAGGCGACTATGAGTAATGAGGCTGTGCAACATGCCATGATTTGCAGCCCTTGAAGACTTGGCTGTTTAAGAAACTCTTCGGGTGTATGAATCTATACTTGTGTGTTTTGCAAAGGCATATTAAGCCAATAGTTTATTACCTTACATGCTGGATTTTATAGTCAGTTCATACATTTCTGTAATTGTGACAAATGCGGCCTATTGACACTTTGACGTGAGTCGCTAAGCGACAGAAGCGCTGAAATGCTTTCTCCTAAATCAGCCGCCTCCAAAGAAACACTCTTCTGAACTTTAAAGCACAATGGAAGGTAAATCTTTAACGCGCAGTTTCGTTCAAATGGAAGTCTTTAAAGTGACGTTGATTTCGCGGCGCTGCAAAAGGCAAATAAATGCTGCCTTGGCAAGGTATCGAAACCTACCTGAAAAATCTGAGATCTGACATTTGAGAAAAAACAAGAGGAAGATCTGAGGAGACAAGATGTGGCTACCGCAATAATGGTTGATTGATAATGCTGATCAATATTATCTTGATGAAATTGTAATCGACTTCTATCACTCTCCCTCATTTTTAGAGGATTACTTTTCTAGTTTCCTCAGACGGTTAATTTTTCCTCTTTAAAAGTCGGCAAGTTCTTCTGACGCGTTCAGACTCGATCATGCTATACAGTGTCAAGTTCTATCACGGCGTGGTATTGATAGGACTGACTTTTTCCAAGCCGCTTATTTGACCAGTAGGTAGCTTCAGTCGGCTGCTTTTTCAGATCTTACCATTTGTAATCTCGATCATATACTACTTAACTAAGTAAATTCCATCCTTATTTCTTCTGAACAGATTCGCACACCTTGCCATCTCTTTAATTGTTCTTGCTTACAGCTTCAAGCCATCCATCCACAGCAAATTCGATATTACATTGCCACTTTTAACTCATGTCGTGTCGTTTCCATATGTTGTTCAGAAAGTGGCAGAGATGATTCAGCATCCAAAGAAGCGGTAATATTGAAACTCTCTCGAAAATCTATGGCTGATGTTCATCGGTCCGACATGGCACTCTTGTTCACCACTGCTTCATTGCAGTTTCTAAGGAACCTATTTGGCCGCTGTTGATTTTGTAAACTTTGAATCCAGCATGCGGCATTAAATAAAATGCATTCCTGTAG